GTCGCGTGTTCAAATGGTAGACTTTTTTTTTTGGTCCACTAAAAAAAGAGTGGTAAATTTTTCAAAAGCGCGGGAGTTTGGGGTCTTATTTTAATTCTGAAAGTATTAAGTACGTCTTTATAACAGTGGGGAAATCTGGGTGTGACTTGAGTCATGATTGTTCTGTTAATAGAGTGTTAGCCTTACAGTGCAAATGTGAGCTAAGTGCCTCAAATACTTGAGTCGTGATAGTTCATTTGATAGATTATCAACTTGAGTTATGATAGCTCATTTAACAGATTATTGACTTGAATCATGATGGTTTACTTAAGAGAGCATCAGCCTTAGAGGGCATATATGAGCTAAGTGCCTCAAATACTTGAGTCATGATAGTTCAATTAATAGAGTATTGACTTGGGAAGTGATCTTTCATTTACTGGATCATCAGCCTCACAGTGCAAATGTGAGCTAAGTGTCTCAAATATTTTAGTTCTGATAGTTAATTTAAGAGTATGATGACTAGAGTCGTGATAGTTCATTTAATAGAGTATCAGCCGCAAAGTACAAATGTGAGCTAAGTGTCTCAAATACTTGAGTAGTGGTAGTTCAAAAATAGAGTATTGGAATTGAGTCATGATTGTTTTTTTAATAGAGCATCAGCCTCAAAGTGCAAATGTGAACTAAGTGTCAAAAATTTAATAGAGCATCATCTTCAGAGTTCAAATGTGAGCTAAGTCTCTCAAATAAAGTCTCATTTCATGGAATATTTCTTAAAGTGTTGATTTATTATATTGGTGCTCTGACCAGGGTTTAAACCTGGGACCTTGAGCTCATACTAGTCTTTTGGGGTCAATTCTTTACCAACTGAGCTACCACAGGACTAAGGCAAGCTACTTCTGTCCTGGCACTTACCAGTGTACAGTGTTAAATTATATATCTACTGCTGCATTTGAATCAAGTGAAATTCAAGAAGGTAAAGGCAAAAGAGCCTTGAGGAAACTCTTCAGTAACCAGTCTCAACTTCTTGCTGACTGACAGTTCCCAGAGTGTGGAAGAAAGTTCCAAGTAAATATAGGACTGTATAACATTTTCAGTCCCATAGATATCGAGATGAGATGAAATAACTGAAAATGAAATTATATGGCTGTCTTACTTGATTACAATGGACAACCATGATCACAGTGATAAGTAAAGATTATTTATGCATAAGGTTTTTTTATATAATGTCAGCATTTAGCTTTCATGGGAGCTTGAGTATTTTTCTTCTCATTGTTACAAGACCTACAAATTTTTAACATGCAGACAGTTCTGCGAGGAGAATGTATGATTATAGATTAGATATTAAGGTGTTATATTTGTTAAAATTGCAATAACTTAATTTCATGTTTTCATAACTAGTTTAGAATGTCTCTGTAGTAAGGTATATGCAACTAATTTTTTTCTAAATTTTTTGTTTACTTGCTTTGTGCATAGTTAATGACATCTTTGTATATCAGATGTCCAAAGGTTGTAAACATGTAAATACCCTTTTGCTAAGGTACAGCAGTGGCTACCTCATGAAAGTATGTACCTGTTTGACCCTGCACCTGTGTCGGCTCCCTGGGACAAGGAAAACCCATCTCAAGAGTTGACATAGATGTTTGTATGAGAAGGGGTTTTCTACCATGTATATGTTATTTGTAAAATTCGTTTACAAGAATTAAGGGATACCACACTAGGACTTTTTTGTCTGACATAAAAGTATAGATTTTATTCTTCTACTATGCAGATGTATTTAGGAAAGCGTCTCCTACCCTAGCAGCCAGTAAAAGATCACAACAGGAAAAAAGAAGCTGACCAGATTTGTGTTGAGCAATACATCATTTTGAATGCATATTTCTTATTTACACGCATGTATTTACTTGTTGTTGTTTTTTTCCCCCTTCCTGTCAATGTCAATTTATTCACTAAATAACATTTTCTGAACCATAATTTTTGTAGGGACTATTGGATATCAGTATACCTGAATATTACCTACCTTTTAGTGCAGATTGTGTACATTGAACTTCAGTTAATTTATTGCTTAGTTCAGTACATATAGGAGCTATGGGTTTTATTGTGGTTTTTTTTATTTCATCTAGGTGCTAAGACAAAGCAAGTCTATTTTGCCATTTTTAGCACGATTATGCTTGGTCAGCACATTTCTGGAAGATGGAGTTCGTATGTGGTTCCAGTGGAATGAACAGAGAGATTACATGAATGTTTCTTGGGGCTGTGGATGGTTTCTTGCAACATTATTTGTAGTTTTCAATCTTTTTGGGCAGATTGGAGGTTCGATTATGGTGTTGACACGATTCAAGGTGGACTATGCTTGTGGGATGTTATTCTTTATTGTGATCCTTCAGGTAAGTTGTATATGTTGAATTCAGAGGTACTGTTTGGCATGAAAGAATTGGCAGTCATGAAATATTTAATCAAAAAATTGTGACAACTGTCCACAAAAATGAATATTTACATATATATTCAGTCTTCTAACACATTATTTTATCTAATGAATAATGTTGAAATTGACGTTAGGCATTTATTAACCCTTTTTTGGCACAGGCGTAAGGGAATTACACACACAGTAACTCTGAGATTTCTTAATATAACATCACAAAAACTGGTAAGATTTTGTTAACGATTATAAGTATCTTGTACACAAAGAATGAAAATATTTTAATTTAGTGTTTCTAATGAAATATGTTGTTTAACTGTTGTAGTTATTTGCACTCAAACTCTTAATAGTACGAATGCAATATGATTTTCATTTTATGTATAAAAATACTTTTCTTCATCTTACAGTTTTTGAGTTCTATTTGCATAACCTCTAGAACCTCCAGAATAAATATCAAAAGTTTCTTGAAGTAAATGTTTATATTTTATTTTTCATTTTCTCTACCATATCACTAACTGTAGATATTATCAACAACATGCAGTGCAATGAAAAGTTTAAAATTAAGGAATAGAAAAATGTACATACCTTTTAATACTTTGGAAAATATCTTGAAAGATCTTCTTTTGGTTATATTTGGGATTTCAGGTATTCCCCTTTTCACATATACTTAATGTTTTCTTTTCCTCACCTTTACCATTTATTTTTCATCTCAACAAGTGAATAACACTCTTGGTGTGTATTACAATATCTTTGGAAGAGATGCACAAGCCCTTGGCAAAATTAGCTTGCACTCATGCAAGATCGTGAGCCTTGAGAACTGGAGCAATGTTTTGAGATAAATTTAAAAACTATTTAAACCTTTCAATTCTGCATTTTAAAACATAAATAATCCATAATTAACTAAGATATAAAAGTAAAACCTAAATGCAATTTAACTGTCTCTAAATATAACATATTTAACTAAGAGAAAACTAAGTGCTATCATGGATAAAGCAGCCAACAATACTACAGGCAGTTACATCTACCTGATGATGAAAAATGAATGCCACTTTCAAAATAATCATTTCTAATGATTATAAACGTATATGTGTAAAATGTGGGCATGGCACTCATCATGGGTTGACAAAATTTATTACTTGTTTCTACTGCATTCAAAAAGAGAATTTTTTAATCTTATGTGTCAACAGGGCAAGTAAATGTACCTAATTGTCTAGACATACATCTACAGAACTGGCATTATCTGAGTCAAGATAGCAAGTGTGAAAATTGAAATTTTTCATGTGACAACACAAAACCAAAATTTAATATATTTTTTAAAGGTTTCTTTTGAAATAAAGGAATTAAAACCTAGATAACATAAAACTTCAAATCATAAAATACATTATAATGTTAATTTCATTCACATACATTGATAGTAAAGTTGTTTAATGAAATTTTGAATGTAATGCGGTGACTTGCACAAAAAGGTGTTTAAAGGGGTACCTGTTGTTAAAAGGTTAAAAAAAGCAGCTTTCAAGTGTTTCTTGTTTTGATTCTGCTGCTAACTGGTCACAAACCTAAAATTTATTTTTGGGATGCTTTTGTCATTTGGAGGTAATATTTGGGTGTAAATGTGTAAATGAAATAAAATAAGATTAAGTGAAATGTCATGAAGTATGTGAAATAAAAATAACCTTGAAAAAAATAATGAAGAAAAATCAATTCAAAATAATGTTAAAAAAAAAAACTATAATAAACAGGATTTGTAGAAAAAATAAAGACCACCTTTCTTAACTGGGTTTTACCATTACCTTAAAATTTGTAGCACACAAAAAAGGAGCTACAGGTAGTGGCCAAAAAAGTTTAAACACCTATGTAAAGTTACTTAATGGGCCTCCATGTGTTGCCAGTATGGCCTGCATGTGCCGTGGCATAGAGTTTACCAGCATATGGAATTCTGCATGGGGAATGCAACACCACTCTTCCAAGAGAAAGTCAGTCAACTCACGCCTAGTTGATGGAAGTGGAAAATGCTGTCTCTGGCATCATTCCAGAATATCCCATACATGCTTGATTGGGTTCAGATCTGGTGACTGAGAAGGCCATGACATATGGATAACGTCAGTGTCATGCTCCTCAAACCACTGGGTGACTACTCATGCTCTGTAGATAGGGGCATTGTCATCTTAAAAGACACCCCTCTCTGCAGGACAGAAATTCTGTAACTTGGGATGAAGATGATCACTCAGTACCATTAAGTAACGATTGGCATCGACCTTGCCTTCCAAGGGTATGAGTGCACCCAATCCATACTAGGAAAATATGCCCCACACCATTAGGGAACCACCGGAACCCTTCATTGTTGGAACTAAGCACTCAGGGCTGTAGAGTTCTTTAGGTTGGCACCACACATGCACTCATCCATTTGTTGAGAACATGGTGAAGGATGATTCATCTGACTGTATCACATTTCTCCACTGCTCGGTATTCCATAGACTTCACTGGATGTGCAATCGAACTATGGTATCCTGTTCTGTGGAAGTTCTCAACAGACTGTTTTTGATGAAACTGGCTGCCTTTGCTCTAGGTTTAAATTTGATCTGTGTTTTTTAATGTTGAAAATAAAACAAAAATAAAGTTGTGGACTATTTGGCACTCAGCACAGCATTTAAGAGAAACTTATAAATCATAAGATATTCTGATTCAAGTAGGGTCTTATATTTTAACCAATAAAAAATGCTGCAAATAAGAGGTCTCCCTGTACTTTTTGAAGTAGTTTCTTACTCGAGAGAATAATGCAACTAACTTCATAAATATTATTCATGAGGTTTGGACTATTTTGTCTTCCAGTTCAAATTAATGCATGGACATCACGATCTTGGAGTATGTGCTTCTGCCCACTGTTGCCCTTTGCTGATGATGTCTTTCCCTCAGAATTCCATGCTGACATCACCTTAGACACCGTTGCTTGTGAAAGATCAGTAAGTTGAGCTGTCTTGGTCACTGAAGCTCCCGACAATCGCTCCTCTTTCAAAATCACTGAGGTCTCCTCTTGCAGCCATGCTAACCATAATTATAGGCAACCAGGTCTGTCCAGCATTTTTATACATGAACCTATACATGCTGGGATATTATTTGCTTAATTAATAGATGAGCCATGCCTGTGTGGTAGGCTCTGCATTGCATATACTTGTTATCCCTCATTTACCCAGGTGTTTCCATTTTTTTTGTCCACTACCTGTATATCAAGTGTCATGTGTCTATAACATGACCATCACAATTATCCAGTTGTTTATAACAGCTGAAAAGTGCTGAGTTAAAGTTAATCTGCTAATTCAAGTTAAAAATGTCATAGGAAAACTGTTTCAGTATAATTCAAGTGTATTGTACAAAAGACTTGCATAGTGCTAACTTTGAGGGTTAAAACAATCAGTTTTAATGGGTTTGGTCATTTAATATTTACCAGTTACTATTTGAGTGTGATGTCTATAATAAAAATAATTTTTTCTATGATAAAAATGATGATAAGAAAAGTACAAGAAACCAGGTAAGTGGTATGAAAGGTTTGGGAGTTCACTGTGTAAGTACTATGTTCTTGGGATTTCTGAGGTCAGGCATTATGGACTTTGATATTACATAAATAAAGGTTACAAAGAAATTAGTCTTTCTGCTTTCATGTCAAGCCCTGTTGTGTGTTTAGAAATGCACTAACCCAGTCCTAAGGTAATATATCTGTGCTATCACTGTGCTTGTAATACAGTTGAATGTGGATTTTTCCAGAAACATCAACCTGCTGAACAGCCTAGGCCTAATATAACATACTGTGTTACTAGTATAGAACAATTCACTTGTAATGCATTACAAGTTCAAACCATACAAGTGCACATGTAACTGAATCACTTTTCAAATGCTGTAATAGAAAATGTTAAAATGCATGTTATAGGTAAAAGTTTGTATATATATTTTGGTTTTCAATAACATCTGGGCAAAATATACATACACAGTTAGATATGAGCTTTAAATTTTGATTTGATAATCAGTTTTATTATTTTTTCTGATAATGAATTGCTACCTTCAGTGAAACTTTGATTCTTGTACAACTTGATTTCATGTACCTGCTTCCCTTAAAGAAGTATGTAAAATTGATGTTTTACTCTCTTAAATTTTTTTTCTTGGTAACTATTTTTGTAATAAGTGGGTTCTTTTGTATCTTTCTTTGCCATAGCAACCCTTGTATGTATGCTATAATCATATATTTAACTGTTTATTTGCATTGTGTGTGTGTGTATATTTATAGTAACATCATCGAACTCCATACATAACTGTTACGTTTTGTGTCCTGTATCTTTGCATTCCAGACATATTTCTTCTGATATGTTTAGTGTATCAAGTGTCCTGTATCTTTGCATTCCTGACAGATTGCTTCTTGTATGTTTAGTGTATCAAGTGTCCTGTATCTTTGCATTCCTGACAGATTGCTTCTTGTATGTTTAGCATATCAAGTGTCTTGTATCTTTGTATTCCAGATAGATTGCTTATGGTATGTTTAGTGTATCAAGTCTCTTGTATTTTTGTATTAGAGACAGATTGCTTCTGGTATGTTTAGTGTTCTATATCATTGTATTCCAGGCGGCTTGTTTCCAGCACATTTACAGTCTGTACAACAGCACATCATTATATCTAATAAATATTTTGGTTTTTATGTTGTTCTGTTTTACAATACAAATTTATAGCTAGTACAATTATGATTTTTTTCTGTTTTCATTATTATAACACCTTTATAAGCTGTAAGAGGAGGTTATGTTGTCTCTAATTTATTTATATTGTAGAAACCACCATTGTTCTTAATTCTTTTTCTACTCTTCATACTTAGTGAGACAGGCTAATAGCCATTATAAGATAAAGCTATTTTACAAATTTTGATGCTAGTTTCTCAGGTAGCACTTTAGAAGAAGGAAATATTATGATTTGCAAAATAATTTTGACTCATTAGCATGAAATGTTTTTTTTCACTTTTTAATACATATAATTTTGTTCTACAAAAGTTTTATTTTTCTTTTGCAGACTGTAGCATATAGTATTTTATGGGATCTACAGTTTTTGCTGAGGTGAGTTTTATGTATATATATATGCAATAATGATGAGACCTGTATATACATTATTTTAAATACTAATTTTCAGGAATCAGCTAACCCCAAAATATTTTGATTTTTAACAAATAGCAGTACAGCATGCTGACGTGCCTAAAAACCAAGTACACTGATGAAAGGAAAATGATTTTTTATATGTATAAATTTAGTACAACAAAACAAACAAAATGTCATTGTTTTTCCTAATAAGTCAAACAGCGAAGAATCTCTTCTTCACATAGATTTATTCTGAAAACATAGAAAAGTGGAGGAAAATACATTATAAATCTATTGACTAATATGTATAGTCTTGAATGAAACTCTTAAATTGATAATAAGAGAAAATGTTTAAAGGCTTACAATCATTTCAAGATTGCACCTTGTTAGATAGTTATTAAAAAGATAGTGTGTGTAGATTGCAGATCAAGGAATGATAGTTATCTAGTCTGGCATGCTGACTTGTATAATTAGGCAAAGTTTAGATTTTAAATGCCTGGCATGGTCTCTTGATTAGCTTGCTTGACTCGCAATCTGTGGTCTTCATGTTTGAATCCCCATCAGCAAACATCAGGCCAGGAAATTCATCATTTTTAGGACAAGACTATTTGGCCTTGGATTTTCTCTCATTTTCAAGGGCACCAAGATAAAAAAAAATTAATTAACTGGAGGGCACTAAGGCCACAGTACACATTAATGTTAATGGAATAGAAATGAATTTCCCAATTAGTTTCATATATATGGCATTAAGTTTTTTTCATTGGGGGCTTGGAAGCTGGCCTATCTGTCCAGATTATATTTATCAGATAGGTAAGTATTAAATTTAACAAATGAGACTTATGAAGTAACAATATGTCAGCTTTATGATAAAAAAAAGAGGTATCATCCTGATCTAATATGCCTGGTGACTTTAATAACATTCCTAGTCCCCCCTTCCCCTCCAGACCCCAAATGACATTGGACCTGAAAATCGTCAACAACTGTTGGGCACCTCTCTCCACTTATTAATTTGTCTAACTTTGAGAAGTATCAAACAAAATCTTTGGGAGGAGAAGCATTTTAAAGGTTTCCAGGATTTGACCTCTGGTGACCTTAAAAGTCATGTAAAAATTTCTTATTAATATATCCAACTAGTATTTTTTTGGATAATTTCTAATGTGGGCTAGTGCCGATAAACAGTGAACTAGGGCTACACATGGTCATAACCTATAAATTACGCATCATCACACATTGCATTGCACAACTCGCTACTTGTAATTCAGTAATGTTAACTGTAGCTAGCTAATGTAGTAGGTCTAATTCTTTGGTGGGTTTGCACATAAAATTTAACGAGCTGAATTATTGACATATTCTGTTTACCTTCATTTTCTAAAAAAATCAGGATATAATCTACATATTTACTGACAAAAAAAATTTCCAATTTCTGGTCGATGACCACCACAGAAAAAAGTTTCACTGCATTCTCTATTCCTTTTTTAGCATGTTTAATGCAAGGAGTATATGCAGTCTTACACTTCACTCTGACCAGTGTATGTAAATGCTGACTTTGATCGTCATGTGCTGCTGTCGCTGTGAATCTTTGTGTAAGTTCTGCGTGTTTGTTGTTTGAGTGACAATTTGAATTGCTTGCTACTACTAAGAGCCTGCAGTATAGTATAACTCAACAATCTGCATGAACGTTTTATTGACAATTAAAATGAAACTTCACTCCATCCACTACATGCAACGTATGTGATGTATCATTCATAACAAGGTAGTTTTTGTATGTTGCAAGTCTAGTATTTGTGATCCCCAATGGTTTTCTCTTTATTGCGGTACGCACTAGAAATTTAGATAGTAAAGGCACGACGGCCAAATGGTAGCCATGGATTTTAGTGATTTTATAAAGGCACCACAGCCATTATCAAAAATATGATGGTAATTGCCATTATGAATTTCATGCCCTGAAACATGCTTGGTCTATTAGCCATGGGTAAGGGAGACATTTGCCTCCCCTGCTCTTTTTTTCTTTGGGATGTAGTACACACACAACATTTACAATAATTAAATTGGCCTGTTCTGCACCACCACCACCCATCTACACACACACATTTTGGTCACAAATCCTGCCTATGCAATTATATACATGTTATACATGGACATCTATACTAGCCTGTTACATTTAGTTAGTCCAACATATATAATTTTAAGTAGTCTTTGATATTCTCCATTAGAATTCTTTGAACCAGTGTTTCTCCAATGATGGGTGGCGACCCCCAAGCAGGTTTCCAGAGGGGTCACAAACTGTTTATGCTGTGTTTTTTTTGTTTTTTTTTATGTGAGAGGTGCACACATCTCCTTTGTTCTGAACTATGATGAACTGCACCAAGAAACATCAAGAAATTTTTCCTCCTTGCAGGAATTATGGGGAGGGGTCATAATGACCAAAGCTCAGACACAGGGGTTGTCTGGTAGAAACACTGCTCTAGACCTTTGGAAACTTATTGGTCTATTTTTCGTAACACAAATTAATACAACCTTTTTTTGACATTATTACAGGAAAAAAAAATTATTATGCGAACCACATTTAATTAGTGATAGCATGCTTTAATACATGAGATAAACAGTAAATAAGTATATATATATCTGAAGGGTTTAATATTTGAATTTCTCTAGTTTCATTGTTAAACTTCTTATTTTAGCTGTTTTGTACTGTACAAAATTTGTCTTTTAAGAGTTATTAAAATTTGTGAGAAACATGTATCATTTTATTTGAGCTTGTCACATGTAGATCATCAGTAACTTTTGATCAAAGGTGGCTACCAACATATATCAGATATAAAAAATTAGCTTAGTAAACAAAGTACATAATTTAATAAATTAGTCTAACCAAGAGTACATATATTAACATAAAAAAAAATTGTAATGATAGAATGCATTGGTTCGTGTTAGGTACCTTCGATTTCTGTTGTCAATATTTTTGAGCATCAAAAGTTGATAATTAAAATTCAGTTGAGTCATTCAGTTACAAGCATTAACTTTCAAAGTAAAACCTTCACTTTAATAGTGTGATCTTTTCTTTGCAATCAGCTATGTCAAACTGAGTTTTATGCCCAAAACAAAGAAGACAAAATCGTTTTTAGTATTAGGATATGAATAAAATATTTGTAGCTGTAAAATTATATTTTATCTGGTATATGTATGAGTATTTATTTTATTGCTTTGATTTTAGTGTATATACTAATTGTATAAACTTACAGTTAATACAAAAAGCTTGTTGCTTACTCAGACATTTTGAAAAGTTCATCCTTTAACTTTTGTTTGTAGAAGCGTAACAGACTTACAACTTCATATTCTGGAATCACTCACTGTCGATCTCAGCAAACCAGGGCTAAGTTAAACTCACTAATTAACAGAATATTGTAGAATATTGCATGCTAAAACATCTTCCTTCTAATGTTGCTTAAGATCAAAACATCAAAAATTATTTACATTTATGTTCAATCAATCTATGAAATTTTTAAATGTTATGTTTACTCTCCTAAATTTCATCTTTAGTGTTTCAAGTCAAACATAATCCATCTTAGATTCACTCACATGTACCATCTATCAAATATAGACAGTATGGCTTTTGAACTCTATTATTAGATTTTGCAGGACATATGAGATACTTTGTAGTATCTTACAGTTTTCTGTGTAATACACACTCATGTTTAAAAATCTAAATCTCTGACCCATGACTTCTAAGTGTATTTACTTTTACATTGACATTGAAATGTGGTATTTTCTAAAGATCTGTTGGTTTTAACATAACATTTTGGATCATGAATGTTGTATTGTTCAGGACAATAAATGTTTTCCTGATACTTGTCTTATGGTATTTCCATTAGCAGTGCCATAACATTTATTTATTATATCTTCCTTTATCTTTTCTTTTTAGTAACCTTGAAGTAATTTTTGGCTTTTCTCTAATATTTGCATGTTTCTTTTTGGTTTGATGAATACAGGAACCTGTCTCTGGTTGGAGCCTTGCTGCTGCTGCTTGCTGAAAGTAGAGTAGAGGGTAAGAGTCTGTTTGCTGGTTTGCCATCCTTAGATGACAACAAACCTCGTAATTACTTACAACTAACTGGACGAGTCTTGCTGGTATTCATGTTTATCACAGTTCTCCGACTAGAGCTGTCTTTCATCCAAGTTATCCAGAACATTGTGGCTTCGGGCCTAATGGTGCTTGTTACCATTGGCTATAAAACAAAACTTTCTGCTTTAGTTTTGGTTCTTTGGCTTATGTGTCTCAACTGCTACTTAAATGCCTGGTGGTCTATTCCCTCATACAAGCCAATGAGAGATTTCCTGAAATATGATTTTTTCCAGACCTTGTCTGTAATTGGTGGATTATTGATGGTTGTATCTTTAGGACCTGGTGGGGTCAGCATGGATGAACAGAAGAAACGGTGGTAGATTAACTTGGAACAAGAAATGGCGTATAATAAAACTACACATTTTGTGCACATTTGCATAAATAAATATAAGTTATATATTTTGGGCTTTAAATATCCAGTCTCCAAAAATATTTTTACAGTTTCTTCCAGCAAGTATGAAATATCGATCTACAATGCAGTTGCTTGTGCAAATAATAATAATATAGCTACTTTATACGATGAACTAACAAAGTAAATTACTGAAAGCATTTAATAGTACTCATTGCATGAAATTAACTTTTTAATATTTTTTTTTTTGTAATGCTTTTTATATGATTTAGACTTACATACCTGTCTACTGGACTTACAGAGTTAACAAATATTGTTTTTTAATGTCGATTACTGTGGTGTATTACCAAAATTGTAATATTGGCATCTGAGAAATTCCATATCGAATGATTTGTGAACTTCCATCTCACCATCTCCGATATTTGTATTTTTTTTTAACTTAATCAATATAATGTCAAAATATTTTGCTTCCATATGATATTTTCTATAGTTATTGAGTCTTGATGATTTTTAAAATGTCAAAATTACCTTTCTTGATGAGGTCTGTTTTGGTTTATTTGAATAGGATGATTCTTTTATACTAGCTATACGCATTCACACACATAGCAATATAGATAAATAAAGTGAAAGATGACAGTAATTACGAAAGGTATGAAAAATAGATGGAACACTTGTTTTTTACTGAAACAGGATTCTAGTATGTGTTAGGAAAACGTGATTCCTTTAGTGTAACCATTTATTACTGTTTGAGTGTTTAAAAAATAAGTTGTTTACTTTATTGTTCATGAAATGAGTTATAAAAATAAGCAGAGGCTCATTAGTTTGTTGAGACCTGACTCAGTAAAGTAAAAGTCTTCCTTATTTATATTTAGTTTTTTTATTCAGTGGGTCTTATTAACAGTGTTTTGTGGGAACAGATTATAGAGTTAGTGTTAAATAAAAATTGCTACATTAATAATTCTAATACCTAACAAGTAATTATTTTCAGTCTTTGATGATATTCATCTTTAAATTAAACCTCTTACCTAGTAAAACAGGTAAAAAAGGTTTTTATTAATTAATAGTAAAAACCTCATATTTATTTCTAAAATTACATGTTGCACTAGGAAACTATAACATAAATCAGAAACTTGCATTGGATTTCGTAAGTGTTGTCAGAGCAAAATGGTTCATTTCTCCACAGATTCTTATTTCCTTCAATAAAATGTAACCAAAAATTATAAACATGCAGCAGTAGTAATTTTCAACCATATATAAATACAAGCTACTAGAATGCC